CTTACCATATTGTGATGCCTGCGGCAACCACATGTGACGACCCCGGGCTGGACTCCGCTTAGTCCACGGTGAAAGCCGAACCGGATATCGTCCTCTTTTGGAAGGCCAAACAAATTAGTTCGCTTTCACAACGAAACACAGCGTCTCTATGGCATGGCGGCGGTGTTAACAATACTACAGTGAGAATAAAAGTTACTTCTTTCTTTGCGTGAACATTTGGGCGGCGTTATGCAAATCTTCCCACATCGTGACGTAGACATGTGGGGGCGTGTTAGAATGAGCCGTTTTAGGTAGGCGTGGTTGACTCTTAACTTTTATAAAGAATATCTCTTTGGATTTGAGACTTTAGTCTTTGCAACTTTACAGATCTTCTTTATGCACCAAGAGCTTGTAACACTTCAAAGAGAAAGGAAAAATTAAAATCGCATCATATGACCCCTTTAAGATAAAACAGGTTAAGTAAAATATGCTGAATATATAATATCGTACAAATATTTATAAAATGCTAGCTATATAGACTGTGGGAATGTATTTTTTTGGGGGGGAGACGTGAAAAGAGCGATGCGAGAAGACGGATGCTGCATTCCAATTTGCCTGCTTATACTATTCCCTGAAAGTATGAACTCTTTTTGTGAAGAAAAAGTACACACTTTTGAGTATGTAGCAGAATAGTAGGCAAGCTTTGGGACATGCTACGTTGTAACTGCGTCTTTAACAGATGCTCTATTGCTTAGTTAGGGGCCACTCACATATCGCGCCTAAAAACGCGTGGAAAACGCTAGACGCGCCGCTTTCTGCTTTTTCCCAAAGCGTTCGGGCGCTTGCGCTCCGGAGGCGTCTGCCGTTGCTCAGCAACCGTGACCCGCGCTCTCCATGAAGACTCGGGAGTTTCAGCAAAGGATAAATGGATTTGCAGCACTAAAGATAGAGTGGGGGGACTATGACATCATGCATCGCACTGGTTCCTCGACAAAAAGCCAATAGGATTTTTCCACAGGCTTTTGGATTATTGCGACAAATAAGCTCTGTGTTCAATCATAGTTCATGAAACTAACACGTTTTGTCCATCAAGATAATCTTCACAAAATAATATAACTTTTATGAATTTTGATGCCTAAATAAAAGCGCTAAAATGTAAAAGCTAAACTTAGGCTATAAACGAACTACACCTTCACGGTCGCTCGCCTTCAACGTCACCACCACGCTTCCCACAACTTTTTCAAACTTATTTTTAACACGTTCAGTGAAAAGGATTTAGTCTGTATAT